GAGAGAGAGAGAGAGAGAGAGAGAGAGAGAGAGAGAGAGAGAGGGGAGAGAGGGCAAGCCAGAGTGAGATGAGACTCTCTCTGCAGTTTTGATTTGCGTTTCCCCAATAAGTAATGACACTGGCAGTCACAGAGAACACCTGAGTGTGGATCCCAGTCTGTTTGCTTTATTGGCGTGTGACCTTCATGAGGTTAAGATTGCTCAGCCTCAGTGTATCCAGCTGTGGTATGGGCATCAAAATCTTGGTCTCATGGGCTGCTCTATGGGGAGGGAGAGTATGATAAGGTACCTGGGAACCCAGCCCTAGTTAATGGCAGGGGACATGGGCCCCTAGCCACAGAGAGGGACCCAGGCTTGGCGTCCTCTGGTATCCCGGCCAATGCACACTTCTCAGAGCCACCCCCAGGCATTCTGGGCTCTGACTCTGATGCAGCACCGGGTGGAGATGGGGGAAGAAACGGCCTCATTCCCACGGCCTTCTCGGCAGGCAGGCGGAGATCACAGCTCACAGCCCCAGAGCCTCTGCTCACCACTTAGAAAGATCACAGCAGAGGGGGGTCTGGGCGGGGCACACACATGCAAGAAGCCCTCCACAGGAGGTACAGAGAGGGCCTGTGAGCCCCTGTGGGGGACTGGGCACCAGTTCTCAGGACAGTCAGGCAGATGGATCTCGGATTTCTTTTTCAAAGCAACACTGAAAACCCCCGTGGAGGACATCTGCAGAGTGCCCAGGCATAGTTCTGACGCTGTAAGGAAGGGGCGCCAAGGACGTCACAGGCTGGGGTCAGAGCTGCGTGGTCCTGACGGGCCCAGGCTCCAGATCCCACACTCTGCTCCACTCTTCAGCCTCTGGCCGCCACACCGCTGTCTCCCAGGGGCGAGAGAAGTGCTGCCACCCGGTGGCCACAGGCAGGCCAGCGTGACTGCTGAGGCTAACGCATCCATGCAACAGAAAAGCCCCTTCCCTCCTCCATGAGGGGCTCTGAGCTCATCTTCGGGCACAGGGAGTAGCCCTCACACCCTGTCCTCACACCCCTGCTCCTTAGGAGGGTGGGTGGGCAGGCCAGGCCTGGGAACCGACACTCTTCTTTGCAGGAGGGCGGAAGGGCAGCCTGGCTCACCGCTGAGTCCTTGCCCACAAGCTGACTCCTGAGCCCCAGGGCCAGAGACATCCATGGGGTCTCATCACCGCTCATGCTTGATGTGGGCTTCGCTGGGCTCCAAGGCGACCCCATTGCTGTTCCGAGGCCCTTCCTTCTTGCTCCAGGCCCGCTCCATGTAAAACTCAGCCAGCACGGGGCAGTGTTCCGAAGCCACGCCGCCCCAAGACCAGTGGTCGGGAATCCAGGGGTTGGTGAGGCCTTCTCTCACTACAGCCCAGTGACCTGGAGGGCAGATAAGAGATCCAGGCATCAGGGCAGAGGCTTGGTGTGCAGGAGCGGGTGGAGTCACAACTTGCTGCCTGCCAGGGTTCCTGCCCAGTGCAGGTCTCTGGCTCTCCAGTGCAAGGGGATGCTTCCTTCAGAAAACTCGATTTTCTGGAAGAAAGAGGGCTGACCCACTGAGGCACTAGAAGGAGCCCGAGTGTAGGCCTCCTGCTTCCACTTGGGACTGACATTGTGATTTCTGGTCCATGTCTCATCTGACCAAAACAAGACCAAACTCACTGCCACCAGGTCAATGCTGACTCAGAGACCCTATAGGACAGGGTGGAATTGCCCCTGTGGGCTTCGGAGACTCTAACTCTTTACAGAAAGCCTCGTCTTTCAAAGGTAAAATCCTGCACTGTCAAGCAAAAGACAAACAAGGTATGGCAGTTACACAATCTCCTGTCAACTTGAACAAAGGGGTGGAGTCTAGCCTGTCAATCAGGTCATAGTCAATGAGGCCTCTGTGTGGGCATGGCCTTCTCCTGAGGATTCTGGGAACTCCAGTCTTTCTCCCTGGAGGCGGGACACACTCTCTCTTTGCAAGACATTCCTGCTGACAAGCCAATGGAGCTATGCTGATGGTAGCCAAAGCCCTGGAGCTGGAGGAGCCACATGGAGACCCACGCCAGCGCTGAGATGCTTCCACTGTCACTGGATCCACAAGACTTTCCATTCACTGGCCTGTGATCTTCCTGCATTCTGTGTCATTGTATGTGTTGCAAGAGTCTGAAGAGTAATTTATAGACTGTTATCGGACATATGGGCTAATATCAGACTTATGGACCCGATCAGGACTGGGCTGGGATGCTTTCTTAATAAAGTTATTCTTTATATAAAGCTCTTTCTTATGCACACACGAGTGTCTATGAATTTGTTTTTCTAGTCTATGCGGACTCACACACTAGGTGACAAAGAGAAGTCCCTGAGGAGGTGCAGGTACCTCACAGTAAAGATTGGGAACATGATGCAATGGCAGGCGTGTTTGAACAGTAAGGGAAGAACAATCACAGGCCCCTTGGGGAGCTTTTATCTGGGACCTCAGCCTAAGCAAGGCTGGGCCAGGGTAAGGGAGATGGTGGAGGGAAGGGAGGCTTGGGGCTACACTCCACTCGGCTCAGCCCACAGCTCTGTGACCTGGCACCTCCGCCCAGGGCTTCAGTTTCTACAACTTAACGGGAAGTAGAGAAATAGTGGTTTCTGCCTGCCTTCCAGCCCTAATGGAGCAGGTCACTTCCATGGGGGCCTCCTGGGAACCTGGGTGGGCTACGGGCTGGATTCTTCCAAATGCCTCTAGGCCTGGTTTGATGATTAAGTCTCCCTGAGACCCTTTGCCTTTGCCCTTTGGATCCTCCCACTTCAGGGACCCATAGGAGACTGGTATCCAGACACGTAGAGGCAGCTGGTGTAAGCGCAGGGATTGGGAAGCCTGGTCCTGAGGCCTGAGGCCCAAGCCGCTCTCCTGAGGTGGGACTCTCCTGAGCAAGCAGTTCATCAAACTTCTCTTGGGGGTAAGAGCTACACCCACTGGTGCTTTGTGGAAACACACAGTGTCCCTAGCTTTTATCCGAAGTCCCGACTAGCTGGAGGATTCTCTTCCTGGAGGAATGTCGCTCCCCAGTCCCTGGTGTGGGGGTAAAGCAGGGCAGCTTTCCTGCTGAGATGGCATGTCACATGCAGGACCTCTGGGAACCTTGTTTAAAGCATTTCTCTGTCCCCTCCCATCACTGCACGGTGTAACTTGCCCGCCCAGCTCCCCTGCTGCTCTGCAGGGCCCGGTGGAGTCAGGAAACCTTATTCTGTGGCACAACTCCAGAGGGGGTATGGGGCTTATCAGATATTCCTAGCATAAGCTATCAATTGCTCTGTCTGAAGTTTTCGTGGGACATACCTGGTTTGTACCTGGTGTAGGTCAGTTAGTGGGTTTTAATTCTTTCTCACACCCCCTTTGGTTTAGTAAGTAGCCTTGTTGGTGTGGTTGAGTAAATGTTGGACTGCTAATCTCAAGGTTGGCGGTTCAAAACCCACCAGCCACCCCGTGGGAGAAAGATGAGGCTATTTGCTCCCATAAAGGCTTACAGCCTCAGAAATCCCATACAGGGTCACTAGGCATCCGAATTGACTCCATGACAGTAGGTTTCGGTTTTGGTGGTGCTGTTGGGAAGAAGCCCTGGTGGTGTTGTGGACTAAGCATTGGGTTGCTAACGATGAGGTCAGGGGTTCAAACCCACCAGCTGTTCCAAGGGACAAGGAGGAAGCTGTCTGCTCCTGTAAAGGTTTGCAGTCTCAAAGTCTGTGGAGCAGTTCTACTCTGTCCTGTAGGCTCGTAATTGACTTCCTGACAATGGATTTGGTGCAGTAGATTAAGCAATGGACTGCTAACCAAAAGGTCAGCGGTTCAAATCCACCAGCTACACCATGGGAGGAAAATGAGGTTATGAGTTTTGGTAAAGATTTACAATCTCAAAAACCCCAAGGAACTATTCTATTCTAGACCAAGTCAGAATCAGTGGATTCTCTGAACAGATCACTCCTGACTCCAGTTTGAACACACCCCTGGAGCTGGTGCTGCGGGCAGGTCTCCTGAACTCCATGTCTGACCAGACAGACCAGTGGGTTTTGCTTTACCTGTGAAAACCTTCTTTAAGTTCTTACTGATCCAGATGTTGTCCAGAGACTTGGAGCCTTGTGGATTCTTGGTACTGATGTTGGTGAAGGTGTGTGCAGGGACCAGGTGGTGGAATTTCTCTTTCCTCAAGATATCATAGTCGCCGCTCTCTGGCCCCTGACCAAAATCTCCTAACATAATGACGTCCTTTTCTCCTGTGAGTGGAAGAGAGAGGAGGAACTTCAGAGCTGGGGAGAAGGAAGGCCCAACACTGACCAGCAGCCCATTGGAAAGGCATCTTGGAGACGTGATCTGACTCTCCAGGGTGAGGATGCTGCAATGACTCTCGTTCTCCAAAGTTCCTTATGCAACTCCCAGAATCTTTTCACGGAACAACTTAAGAGTGGGTTAGAACACATCTGGCAGTGGGGGGTAAGGGGCGTGTGATGTAGAAGTCAGTTACAGAAGCAACGGTCTAAGTGAGGCATCAACTAAGTTCACAGGGAAGAAGCACACCAGCCTGTGTGAGCCAAGGATCATAAACAATTGAATTCAAATCTGGAGGAAGGAAAGGCATCAGACCTTAAATTGTGAACATTCGGTTTGCAGAAGGCTATGGATGACTAGGGAAGCCCCAACCCATTTGCAGCATCCCTATGTGGATTAAGCCTCCCATGAATCACTCTGACCATAGTGCAGGGGTAGGAATAGACTTGCTATCAGAAAAAGAGCATTGTAAAGTCGATTACAGCAGGTGGTTAGGTTAAATGCAACACCTTATCATTTGATCTCCCTTTTAACCTATTTTAAAGTTGTTCCAGTTTTCAAATTTTTCTGCTTTTGTTTCAATCGAGTTTTTCTATGTTTTGTTTTATATGGTTTTCTGTATATATGAGGGAGTAACCCAAAAAAAAACCTGGGAAAAAAGCTCTGATGTGACGTGGATCGTGCATTTGGAGTTCATTCCACGAGGTCAGACTGTTAATCAAGCTTTTTATTTAGAGGTTCTGGAAAAAAAAAGCTTAACAAAGTGCAACAAAAAAGGTCTGACTTGTGGCCAACAGGGGACTCTGGTTTTGCCACCACGACAATGTCCCTGCTCATGCAGTCATTGCAGTGCATAAGTTTTTGGCAAAAAATAGCATGCCTCTCTTGTCCCACCTTACTCACCTGACCTCACTCCATGTGACTTCTTTTTGTTTCCCAAAAGGCAGAGGGACATGAAAAGCCAGCAATTTGATGGTGTAGAAGAGGTGAAGAAAAAAACGAGGGGCATGCTGCCAGCCATCCAAACAGATGAGTTTGAACACTGTTTCCAAGAATGGAATCACAGATTTGACAAATATATTAAGTGTAATGGAGAGTACTTTGAAGGTGATAAGGTTGTTTTGTAAAAAAAATTTAAATACGTGACTTTGAAAAAAAAAATCTGTTTTTTGGGGGAGGTTACCCCCTTGTAAGAAATCATATTAAGAAGAGTTGCGCAATAATCACCACAACCGGTTTCAGAACATTTTCTTCTTTCTCATGCTCATTGTGGTTAGCGCCCCATTCACCCCAGCTTCCCCTGCCCTGCTCCTAGGTAACTATTAACCGTTACTGTCTAAAGATTTACCTATCCTGGCTTTCATAAATTGTATGATATGTGAATTAAAAGCAGGGAAAATATTAAAAATGAAGAAGTCAGTTTAAGCGTATAGGTTTCAAATCATATAGACAAAGGCCGAAGGGTTCGGCATCTTTATAGATGCTCAATGAACAAGACTGAGCTCCTGCTAAGGGCCTACCTGTGCAAGGGGCTTCACACTGCAAGTAACACAAACCTTGCTCTCAAGGAGCTCCGAGTCTGATGGGAAAGGCAGGCTGGAAAACAGACAAGAGTCGAGCAAAAGCATAAACTAAAAAATCTGACCAGGGGCTCAGGTGGAAAGCAAATGTTTTGATAATGATGAGGGCAACAGATGTACAAATGTGCTTGACGTACAATGGATGGGTGTATGGATTGTGATGAGTTATATGAGCTGCCAATAAAATTTTTTTTTTAAAAACTAAAAAATCTGTTCATAGTCAGGCACAGGACAAGGCAAGAAAGGTCTGGGAAGTGGCCCGGAGGGTCAAGGCCTGATTCGGGTCTTAGAGGATACACAGGTCAACCAGGTCAACCAGGAAGAGCCGCAGAAATACCCTGCTTTGGAGGCAGTGGGCGGGGGCTGTAGGTGGTAGGATGCTTTGGGGACGATGTACCAAGTAGCAAGCTGCTAAAGATGAGGCTGGAGATGTCCGCAGCAGCTGACCCATGGCTGGCAGGTGTGCTCCTTCTCTCTGAGGTTCAACTTCAGATCAGTTGGGAGTTCAGAGTTGGGAGGAGAACCAAAAGCCAACATCACCACCATCGAGCCAATTCCAGCGAATCTACCCAATAGGGCAGGGCAGAACTGACTCTTTACAGGAGTAGAAAGCCCCTTCTTTCTCCCTTGGAGCAGCTGGTGGTTTCGAACCGCTACTGACCATGCAGTTAGCAGCCCAACGCATAACCCCTGTGACCCCAGGGCTCCTCCAGGTTGGAGAAGGCAGGGTCTTCCAGGCACTCAGTCAGCAGCGTACAGCACCCACCTGCCACCGTGAGCAGAATCGACTACCATTCTCCTGCCACAATTTAGGTTGTCTCAACAGATCCAGACAAATATTCTTGCAAGGTATTTGATTATGTCTAAGAATTATCTGTAACTGTGTCCTCTATGGAAAGATTATGTGTGCACATACATATGTGTATGTATACCCGCAGACATAGTTGTCTGTGTATACATATGCACACACCTGTACACACACAAATATGTGACCATACAGTTGTTTTTTGCTTATTGTTGGAGTTGGCAATTATCTGTCATACTCTTTCACAAATAGACCTTTTCTTGTGCATTTCTTAATGGGACTGCTTCCTGTGGTCAACCTGTGTTTTCTGTCCTCAGTGTGGAACCCCAGTTCATAAGGTGGGGAGTGCGGGGGTGCGGGCATTGGAAAGGTTCTTTACACAGATAGCCATCCCAGTTTCCGGAGGCTGCTCTGACTTCAGTTCTCTTAAGCCATGTGGGGAAGCATTCCCTATTGCCTCACCACTGTTATCATGAAAAGGTCAATAATATACATGAAAAGGATGACTCCTCATCAGCCTATGCCATCCAAGGATTATAAATAATAATATCCAAGATCAGAGGAGCGAATTGTATCAGAACTTAAATTCTAATCACTTGGTTTGCAGAAGGTTACCAATGACAGTGAAAGCCCCAAATCCACGTGAATTAAGCCTCCATTGAATTCCTTCAGACCACTGACCAGATAGCCCTGGTAGAGTAGTGGTTATGTGTTGGGCTGCTAACTGCAAGGTCAGAAGTTTGAAGCTCCCAGGTGCTCTGCAGCAGAAAGATGAGGCTTCTACTCTTGTAAGAGTTTTACTCCCAGAAAGCCACGGGGGCAGTTCTATCCTGCTCTATGGGGCCACTAAGAGTTGGAATCAATTCAAAAGCAGTGTCTGCTGTTTGTTTTGTTTGTTTGACCGCGGGTGTGAATGATCTTGCCCTCAGAGAGAGTCCATTGGAAAGTAGATCAAACTCAACCTCACTGGGCCACCCTCAGAGACTCTTACTTAATCAGCCGCAGGTGGGCTCAGATGGCTATGGTCGGTGGCTGGTCTGGGGCATCGCATGCTACCTTCAGGCCCCTTGACATTAAGTTCCTTGAACCAGATTCCTAAGAATTTAGCAAAGAGCTGACCACATCCGTTGCCATTGAGTCAATTCTGACTTACAAAGACCCACAAAGTAGAATGTCGCCTTTGGGTTTCTGAGGCTGTACATTTTCACCAGAGCTGAAAGCATCATCTTTTCCCCTCAGAACAACTGGTGGGTTTGAACTGCCAACCTTGCATTTTCACACATAACCCATTATGCCACCAGGCCTCCATAATGACCCTATATGATGGAGAAGAATTACCCAGAATTTTTTAGGCTATAATCTTTTACAGGGTTAGGTCACAAGGACCTTTCTCCTTTAGAGCAAATGGTGGGTTCAAACTGGCAATGTTTTGGTTAGCAGCCAAGTGTTTAACCATTGCATCACTAGGGCTCCTTGTGATAATGGTTAACCCACCGCTCTCATCAGCCCTCAATACGCAGATGACACAACCTTGTTTGCTGAAAGTGAGGAGGACTTGAAGCACATGCTGATGAAGATCCAGGGCTGTAGCCTTCAGTATGGGTTGCAACTCAATGGAAAGAAAGCCCAAATCCTCACAACAGGACCAATAGGTAACATCACAATAAATAGAGACAAGACTGAAGTTGTCAAAAGATTTTATCTTGCTTGGATCCACACAGCCAATGTCCATGGACCCTAGAGCTTTAACCACCGGGTGGTCCAGTAGATTACAAGATCATGTGACCCGTGGCATTGATAAATTTGTTGCACAAGACTCCTTAAAGTCTGATGAGCAAAGATGTCATTTTAAGGACTAAGGTATGTCTGACCCAAGACATGATGCTTTTCAGTCGCCTCCTATTCACGTGAAAGCTGGAGATGGGATAAGGAATTACTGGAGAAAAATTAAAGCATTTGAACTAAGGTGGTGGCAAAGAATATTAAAGTACCATGGACTGCCTCAAGAATCAATAGATCTGTCTTGGAAGAAGTACTGCCAGAATGTCCCTTAGAAGCAAGACTTCATCTTATGTACTTTAGACATGTCATCAGGAGAGGCCAATCCCTGGGGAAGGACATCATGCTTGGTAAAGTGGAGAGGAAGTGAAAAAGAAGAAGTCCCTTCCTCAATGCAAGAACATTTTGTTCTAATAACCTGGCATTCCATGATGCTCAGCTTCCCTACATGATCACTGAAGAAAAAATGGGTGCATAGCAAATGTGGTGAAGAAAGCTGATGGTGCCCGGCTATCAAAAGATATAGCATCTGGGCGTCTGGAGGCTTAAAGATAAACAAGTGGCCATCTAGCTGAGAAGCAACAAAGTCCACATGGAAGAAGCACGCCACCCTGTATGATCATGAGGTGTCGATGGGATCAGGTATCAGGCATCAAAGACCCAGAACGAAAAATCATATCAATGTGAATGAGGGGGAGTATAGAGTGGAGACCCAAAGCCCATCTGTAGACAGTTGGACATCCTTTGTAGAAGGGTCACAAGGAATAGATGAGCCAGTCAGGGTGCAGTATAGCACCGATGAAACATACAACTTTCCTCTAGTTCTTTAATGTTTCCTCTCCCCCACTATCATGAGCCCAATTCTACATTACAAATTCGACTAGACCAGAGCATGTACACAGGTACATAAGATCTGGTAACACAGGGAATCCAGGACAGATAAATCCCTCAGGGCCAATAATGAGAGTAGCGATACAGGAGGGGAAGGGGAAGGTGGGATGAGAAAGGGGGAACCGATCACAATGATCTACATATAATCCCCTCCCAGGGGTGGGTGAAGGCAGACATCACTCAGTGTCAGACATGAAAAAAATAATAATACTTCATAAATTATCAAGGGTTCATCAGGGAGGGAAGATGGGGGAGGGAGGGAAGGGAAAAATGAGGAGCTGATACCAAGGGCTCAAGTAGAAAGAAAATGTCTTGAGAATGATGATGGCAACAAATGTACAAATGTGCTTGACGCATGGATGGATGGATGGATTGTGATAAGAGCTGTAAGAGCCCCCAATAAAATGATTTTAAAAAGAAGAAGAAGTCCCTTAAGGAGCCGGATTGACACAGTGGTTGCAACAAGGGGCTCAGACATCAAACCAGTCACGAGGATGGCGCCTGCTTGGGCAGTGATTCGTCCTACTGTACCAAGGGTCACTATGGGGTGGCACAGGCTCAACGGCACCTGGCAACAACAACTACTACTACTAGTACTACTGCCCTTGAGTGAAGTCCATCTCAGAGAAACCCTGCCTCAAAAGTCCGGCCTGGCGGAACGCCTTCTTACAGCAGCAGGGTTTGAATCACAGGACACCTAGCGCTTTAACCACTAGGTGGTGTGGCGGATTATGAATTGGGCCGTTAACTAACATTTGCTCCCTGGAAGAAAGAGGAGGCTTACTACGCCCATAAAGATTCACAGCTTTGAAAGCCAAAGGGGCAGTTCTACTCTGTCTTAAAGTTTCACTAGGAGTAGGAATCCATTTGAGGGCAGCAAGGTTTAGAGTACTAATCTTTACGGAAGCAGACTGACACAGGGTGGCTGTGAGACACCAGGAGAGCGCCCTCCTCCTGGGTAACCAAACTCAGGGCCATGGAGTCCTTGCTGAGGCAGGGGTCTGCCTGTCACTGGTCATGGGTGTAGAAAGCCCAGTCTTTCTCCCACAGAGCCACTGGTGGTTTCGAACTGCCAACCATGCGGATCGCAGCCCTATACACTTAACCACTGCACTGGCAGGGCTCCTTGCTCCAGGGCGAAGGACAAAAGGGGGTGGGGATGGAAAGTGTTCCCTGCAGCTTGACTGTGTGGCCAACAGGAATGCATCTCTTCAGAGTGCTACGCCTGAAGGCCCTGCTCCGAGCCACCCAGGTAGCCCTAAATCCAGGGCTCTTCGCACAGAGCTGGCTTGGAAACAACAGGGGGAACCAACTGGGCTGCTGTTCCTTGCCACATCCCAAGTGCCTGCAGTCTGTGCTGGATAAGTGACTATTAGGCAAGATCACAGAACAGAGGTGCAACGGGCGCTGCAAAGCCCAAAGGGAACGATGCTACTGTGCTTGAAAACCTGAAGAATTTAAAAGACTGAGTCTGAGGTTTCTACACAACGAGGGGGGTTTTCATTGCGATACAGACCTGGAAAGAATGTAGGCTCCAAAGATCATTCTAGAAGCCGGGAGAAGTGGTGGCACTGAGCATCAGTAAACCCAGCTCTGGGAAACTTGGAGTGGTTCTCAGAGTCCCTACACCTCACCTCTGCTCTTTGGTTCTAAGGCCGATGCAATGACTCAGCAGCCACTCCTGCCTCTGGGAGTCCCCGGGTGTGCAGGGCCCCTTTCTCATGGGCTCAGTTTCCAGAAGTGAGGGGGGAGTGCCCAGGGCCACATATAAAGTCCAGCAACTTGTCAGGCAGAGGGGCTATCTGCCCAGGGTGAGCAGTGCTACACACCATGTAACACTCTCGCTAAGCTCTCAGAGTAAGACCCTGCCCTCCCGCTGCAGTGGAGTCTGAGGGAAGAAAACCCACCAGGGAACTGGTGAGGTCAGCTGCACACACATTCCTGGCAAGGAGACAGGCCCAGAGTGCTCAGAGAGCAGCCTAGGGCATGAAGGCTTCCCTTTGTCTGAGCCGTGTTCCCGGGCTGCCCTTGGGCTGCCGGAACAGGTCCCAAGCCCTTGAATCCACAGTGTCCGGTTAACAATTAATTGCACATGACCTACAGGCAAGGGACTCAAGAGACCATGAGTCGCTGTGACATGCCACACACTGGGCACGTCAAGGCCAGGCCAGGCTGTGATGGATCAATATTCCCTTGGTCACTTGGGAACCAGAGAAGCCACTGGATGCCTGAAGCTATCCAAGAATTGGGAGCAGGCAGCTTTCCTTTGTGTTTCCAAGGGGAAAAAAGGAAGTCTAAATAGAAAACAAGAAAGCCATCCTTCCTAACAGACTGGAAACTGGCTCAGGTGCATAAAAGGACATCACCTTCCTGACGCTAAGTCCATCCCACCGAAACCAAACCCGCTTCTGTTGAGTTGATGCCAACTCAGGGAGGTCCTTCTGTGTTTCGGAGAAGATCTGCACGCCATAGCACTTTCTCGGCTGTGTGAGGCTGTCTGCTCCCAGAAAGACTGACCGTCTTAGAAACTTTAAACAGGGCCACTATGAGTCAGAATCGATGTGATGGCAGGGGTGGGAGTGGGAAGGGGGGTGGTTTGGAATTTTTTGTGAAAGCAGATTGCCAGACTTTTCTTCCGTGGTGCCACACTATGGGTTCCAATGGTCAACCCTTCAGTTTGTAGTTGAACGCAAACGTGTTTGTGCCACCCAGGAATGGGGACTCGTCATTTCAGTTGAATGCTGGATGGGGCACACTCTGGCTTAAAAGGTAAGCTTGTATGTCAACCACAATATTTTTGTGACCAAATACTCATGAACCACCCACGGAGTGGGGCCGAGGGACAGAGAGAGAAGCTGGAGACTGCGCACTTGGTGCGTGATGAGTACTAGTCAAGGCTTAAGAATACAGGAGAGGAATCCGGGCTTCAGGCTCCAAATGCTCACTAAGGGGCGGTCTGTGTTGGGAAAAGCCCCAATAAAATTGCGCCATGTCACCGTCCTGACTTTTCAACTGTCCAACTCCCCCCTTTGCTTAGTCAGCAAATCCAGGGCAGAGCATCTCCACTGTTCGTCTGGAAAGCATGGAGCCTCCTGTTTTGCAAACCCTTCACTGCTCTCTGTTCCGCAGCCATTTTTGGAGGCAGTTCAAGCACCCCAGTCCCTTCCACGTGCTGGGCGCTTCCCCAGAGACATCTGGTTGGCCCCTCTCCATCCACCTTCTGTTTCCATGTGGGGTGGAGAGAGAGGAGGGGAGAAGAGGGGTGGGGAGGGGAGAGGGCAGCTCCAGCTTTCCTGACAGCTACAGGCTCCTCTGTGCCCGACCAGAGTGGAAAGCTCAACGCATCAGGAAATGGGCGCATCCCTGTGTCATTTCTAGCTTTCTCTGGTAGGGGATGCGAGGGTCTGCAGTGGGAGCGGCCCACCTGAGGCGGGGGCAGTGTTTTCTCACTCGGGTTGTCCCTGAAATCCTCCCCACCCGTGGGGCTGACGGGCCACTTTGGAACGTGTGTTAAATCACCCCGAGGGCGGGCAGAGGGCCCCAGAGAAGCTGGGGTCTCCCACCCTTCTGGCCAGCGGGGGACGCCCATTCCTACCTTTCAGGGTCTCCTGCAGGGTCTGTGCCAAGCCGGCCAGGCGGAGGCCCTCCCTGGGACTCTTGCTTGGATTCTCTGCCCCCGGGAGGGTCGGGGCTGCCAGGTGGAGGTTAACAAGGGTCAAGTCATTACTTCCCACCTGGGCAGGAAACAAAAGAACAGGAAGACAGTCATGTTTCCTGCATCAGTGACAGCAACTCATAAACAGCTCGCCACAAAGCAGCCAGGGCGCACAACACTCGGGCCAGCCCACGCCCCCAAGACAGTGCTTCCGTTTAAGAACCTCCCAGAGCACCTTAGGAACCACTCGAGCCTGGGAGTTGCTTCTGCGGTGTAGCAACCCCATCTGTTGCAGAGTGGAACGGCACGGCACA